ATAGGGGAAAAGGGACGAGGGGGCGCCGGGCCCGGCCTCACCTGCGCCGCGGCGGCCCGCACCACCACCCCAACGCCGGTTGCTAAGGAAGAGCCGGGCTTGTCGTAGCAACCGGCGAAGGAAGTCCCACCCTCCTCGCCGCCGATTGGATGTGAGCGCATCACCCGTCGCGTCTGATTGGTGGCCTGCCTTGCCAGTTAGCGCGTGGGGGCCTTGGGGTGGCGGCGGTGACGGAGTGGCTCAGAGATGCTGGGCTTGCGCCTCCCCAAACTCTTGCCCGGTGCCTCTGACGAACGGGGCGGGAAGTGCCCGGGGCTGGGGAGGGGCTTCCAGCACCGCGAGGGTATTTCGTTAAACAGCCCAGCCATGGCAAGTGGGAAAGGCTCGTGGCCCCGGTCCTGCGTGGCCGCAGGAACCCCACGAGTGGCACGTCCGGTCTGTGAGATGTCCCCGAGGCTGGGTCACGAGCTGCTGGAAGCCGGCAGCGAGGAGGAGCTGTGTGTCCCTTGAGCTGGGCTTAGAAAAGGGGTGTCGCAGGAGGCTCCCGGCCCTTTCCCTCATGCCCTATCTGAAGGTTTTCAGGGTGGGTTTCAGCTGCGCAGGCTGCAGTGACCGGCTCTGAGCTGCACCTGCAGCCAAACCACCTGCTACCTGGAGATTTAATGTTTTTCAGACTTAAAACCCCCTTTGGGGTCTAGTTTTACCTTTTGTTTTAAACAAGAAGAATAAATATTGGAGTGGTTTGGGCAATTCAGGATTTTAAAATTATTTTTTCTGCCCTCCATGGCCTTTTTCTTTGCAAAGTCTATTTGCTTTGAGGTTTTCCTCACCCTTTGGTTCTCTGTGAAACCTGTTGTATCTGCATCCTGCTAGCCAAGCACTGATTGCCTCTAAACTAGTTTAAACAGTTTCCTGGGGAGCTAGTGTTGTATTCACCTGAAATTAATACAGGTGGAGGAGCAACAAGCTCCAGGATGATACCAAGGGAAAAGACTTCTATGGAAAGCCCTGGCTGCTGGGCGTGATGCCTGGGTTTCCATCAGGGCCCATCCTTGTCTTGCAGGGTGGCTTGTGGGCCAGACCTTCTGTGCGATCTGTCTGGCGTATATTTGAAACGTCCTCATTCCTGGCTGGCTGCTGGAGGAAGAATTGCTTTCTCGCTGTCCGAGAATGAAAAGAGGGAGAGAGGAACAAGCGGGGCATTCTCCTGCCCCTGCCAGCTCATGAAGAAGTCCTCTTCAGTCACCATACTCTCCTCTTCACTCACCATACTCTCCTATAGCTGTCGGGAGGACATCTTGTCGCCTCCTTTGCTGGCGTAGCAGTGAATCAGACCTGCTTGTCGCTTGCTTGACAAAGCAGTGGTGGAGGCAGCGGGGCTGTGTCTGGGCTCAGAAAGACAACGCTGCAGTGATCGTTTGTCTTCCCTTTGCCTTCGCCACCGGTGGTGACAGGAACGAAGCGCTCATTCTACTGCTCCTACCTCCTGCGCCGCTTCCTTCTCCTTCCTCCTTTCGGCAAGCGCTGGCCTTGCAACAAGGCAGGCACAGAGCTAAAATTGTCAAGCGATGGATAGATAAAAGCTGAGAGGTCTTTTTTTTTTTTTCTGAGATAATTAGGAATAGGATCTCTGTGAAGAAAAAGATCTTCCCATCATCATTACTTTATCTCCAGGCAGCTACTCTAATCTCTTTGGGGACACGGCGCTTTCAAGCATCGTATTCTTGCTGTGGTTTTTTTATTTTAATGCTTTAATCCCTATGTAGTTCACCCACTTTTGCTACTAAGCAGCGAGTCGGTGCGAGCTGGTGTGCTTGCGTGCGTATGCCTCTGTTCGTGGAGGAGGGGGGGAGCGTGTGTGCATATGTGATTCTGGGTTCAATTAAATGTGCTTTGGTTTTGATCCATGTGTCCCCAGGGAGCGTTTCCCTCGGGAAGTGCTGGGACTGATCGTAAGGATTATTCATCATCCTAGGTGAAAAGCTACGGCAAAATGGCCAAACCCAAAACTGCAGAGGGCCCAAAGCTAGGGACGCCCTGTTTTTTTGTGAGTGCGGTGGGTGATACAGTGGGGCTGCAAGGTAGAGGTGCCCCCTGAGGAAGGAGAGCATCCTGTTGGCTTGTCCCCATCTGCGATGGCTTAGCAAAATGTGGGCAGCTCATTTCTGGACCCTTCAAGCTCAGGGTTTCCACAGGTTGCCTCTCTGCAGCACCACAAGCCAGTCAAAGCTGTGTTGGGCCACCACAGCTAACACATAGCGGTCCCTTAGCTGCTAGCCAAAAGGCAGATACATGGCTGGCTTCACCTCACCTGCTCTTTAGTTTCCATGCTGAGAAACCAGGTGCCTGTCTGTAGGTGAAGGTGAGTCCAGAGCAAGGGTCCAATTTTCCCCTCTGGATCTGTTAGGAGCTGTAATCCTTGCTCTGCTCCACCTGATCCTTTCTTATTCACCTCTGATCCCCGATGGAAACTCTTTCAGCCCTGTGCCTTTGGCAGCTGTGGTGAAACATAACGAAGTGCTGTTTGCTGCCTGATGTTGGATTGTGCTGTACTCCTTAGCTGAGAAACAGAAATGTAGTCGCCGACTGCAAAATATGTGTATGTATAATACATATATTTCCCCATGCTTTCTTTTAGCCATCTCCATTGTTGACAGTAGGAGGAAACCAGGAGGCAGATGGACTCTTCATCAGGTGGAGTGCACCCACAGACACCCTTTTCTTGAGAGCTTCTGGCCAGGTTTTGGGACGTCCCCATCATCCCCATGGGGGTCTTAGGACACACCAAGGTCCACCCTGCGGCTGCCCCAGGGTGAGTCAGATGGTCGCTGCTCTCTGGGGGCAGGAGGAGCACTCAGGAGGCCCCATTGGGCTGCTGAAGCCACATTTTGCTGAGATCAGAGCCTCTCCACGTTGCCTTGAGCTGAGGGAAGGCACAGACGGGGACACTGGTGTGTGGGAATGGGTGGCAGCCGAAAGCAGCCTGGTCCTCTGTTCCGGAGGAGTGAGCAGCCTGCTTTGGGACTGCTGGATCCCTTAGTCTGCTGGGTAAGGCAGTGCCCTGCACATGATGCCGTAGCTACTACCTCTAGTAACGGCTGGGACCTCTCCTACA